ATCCCGACAAACAGAACATTTACTGTATCCACAATAATGGAAAATTTTATGAACGCAAAGAGCAAAGAGTTGATACCAGAAGAAACGACTATGGTTCAATATGTAGTAGATGAAATGGATAATTACGTTAATGAGATATCGGGCACCTGGTTTTACGGTTTGGGTTTCGCGTACGGCGTAGGAGATACAATTACAATCGGGACTAATTAATTTATTATTCGCATCGAAATACCTATCTATATTCAGTGTAGATTGGTCAACATTTTTGGGAAATATTAATAAACATAAAAATGTTTGGTATTTATGAATTAGTAACTGTTAAGAAAATATTATGTAATTTTTTTAAAACTAGTAAATCTGTATACTTCAATAAATAACATAATACATTGTCAAAAAGCGTTAATAAAATGGTATTATTTTATTACCAAGTATTCAAAAAGCTAACTTTTTTTAGCTGATTCTGGTTCATATTTCCAAAAAAGGATAAATGAAGCATATTGGCCACATTTGCGAAAGATTGTAACAAAAATCGTTTTGCATCTAATTGTAAGCTAAACAGTTTTTAAGGGTGAATTTTTAAAATTATAATAATGTAAAACATTTTAAATTATGGTTTTGCAGTCTCTGATTTCAAACTTTTTTCAATTTTACTCTATACTTGTGTGGAGGTTATTTTATTAAAGTAAAAATTAAATTAATAAAAAAGTTTTATAGTAGGTACGTATATATTAAACCATAAAATACTAAATTTCAAGTTAATAAACTTAAAAACTGTTTTCAACCTATACAGATAATAATTAGACCTAACCCGAGTCTGATCTTTAGCTTTTTATCATTTATCGCAATCAAAGGCACAGTAAAAACCATTAGTGTAAAACCAATAACTTTTGAGAATCACATCGAAGCTAACAGATTGCTAAAGATGAACGATTTAATTATGACAGTTTAAAATCCGTCTTTTATTTTTTTAGTGATTACATTTTTTTAAACATATTATCAGGTTTTCAATTGTATTGGTTTCAATAGGCCGTAACTTAATGCAAATAATTTGTACAGGGAATGACAAAGTATTGATGTAAAAGTTTCATATTATGTCAGCTTAAGGTATCTTTTTTCAAAATAGAAAAAAATATTTTAATGACCTTCATGACAAACTATTTTTTAGAGAGGTATAGTCTATCTAAACAATGTGTTAAAAAATTATAAATTAATCCATAAATCTATATATATATATATATATATATATATATATATATAAAATTATATATATATAAAAATGAATGTCTGTCTGTTTGTTTGTCCTTTATGCATTAGTCCACCATTCATCTGATCGCCATAAAACTAGGGAAAGGTGTTAAGTACACTCCCGCAAACCTAACTGATAAAGTACTTTTAGAAAATTCCGCCCCTAAAGATGGCCTCAAACACGAACTTTGTACTTTAAATACGAAATGTAAATAAATTAAATGTTTGTAACCATGGTAACCCAAAATTAACACTTGGTTTGTTACGATGGTAACCACGGTACTCGAAATTTTAACTGATAAGAACCGAAAAAAGTGTCACGAAAACGCTGTCACGCTGTTATCTCATAGGAGATTAGAGGTTAGTGATGAGCCGTGGGGATGGTGATGGGGGTAGGAATGGGGGAATGGGAATTATTTTACCTGGCAGACTAAATCTCGGGCAACGTCGTGCCGGGTCCAGACAGCTTGTTATTAATATAACCCGAAACGTTAAAAGAAAGTAAAATACAATGCCAAATAATAACAAACTGACAAATTAAATAATACAATCACTAATCAGTTATTACATATTTTAATAACCAATGAGAACGTTGGAATCCAGGTAACCGCTTTGGTAACCCAACTAACGTTTTGCCAGCTTATAAATTTAATTTAATAATAATAATGTTATGGTGAAATTTATTTCTTTTAACCTGATGTTAAAATTAAATAAATTGTAATTTAACATTGTATTAAGAGTGTATTTAACAATAGTTGGTGAAACTAGCGAATAATTATCCTCCTCTTGTTAATAATACCATATCCCCAAAATGTACACTCACAGGGTCCTATCTGATGACAAATTATTTTTTATGCATACATTTTTATAAAAAAGAGGAGGCTACCCAGGTCATTTTTAAGGAGTAAAGTTTAGGCAAACTTTGGAAAAATCTTAAATTAGAGTTTAAACATTAATAAATATTTATTCATACAGTAATAAGGTTACTTTGTTGATTGCAATTTTTTTTCAGGTTACCACAAACATTTTTATAGGATAAATAATAATGTTTCCCCCGTCAAAACTGCTTTGCGAGGGACAAGTATGTAAGGCCGGTATTAACAGTAAATTTAACATATTTCCACAATGTATAGAGAAAAACTTTATTCATGGGGTAGCATTTTAATTTTTTGATATTTATACTTAAAATTTTTTGTAAACAAATTAATAAAGAAAAAAATAATGAATATTTACGAATGAATAACTTTGATTGTGCTTAAGTTATCAAATAACTAAGCATCCTACATCGTAGTTCTAGTTCTTCTCTATCCATTGTAAAATTGTAAAAGGCTACTCTAATACCACTCTCATATTCCTGTCCCCAGAAAAACCATTTTTCGTGGGTAAATTAAGAGTGGGTAACGTCCTCTTAAATAAATAAATATTCAATAATCATTAGCAGGTGCTGCTGATCTCATTAAGGTTTAATAGAGTTTTTGTAGATTTTTTGCCAAAAATAGTGAGCTCAAACTTTGAATCAACATTTATATAGATTTGTTTTTTTCGTGTAGTACCTATCAAGTAATAACTATTAAACTATGTTACTATTGTAGTAATGCAATATCTTCCTTGTTCCAATGGTAGATGACTTAATAATTAATAATGTTTGACATATAAAAATAACAAGCGCGTTTAAATTATAAAACAAGTAGTGCGTTGCTCGTAAATCAATTTTAACATGGTCTCAAGATATAATTAAATTATAACATATTTTTTTTTCATATTTTAATACTTTAGTTGAAGTTTTTAATCGAATTGAATTTTTGTGTTTTGTCTGTTTTTGACGCTACGATAATGTATTCGAAAATGATGATTTTAGCACTATTTTGGGTTGCTGTACTTAATTCTACACGCGTTGTGTCGGATAAGATGAGTGGATTACAGAAATTGGAACTTGCTAATAAACTAAACGTTTTACTGCATCATTCGGGATGGCGGTACATGGACGACGTTAAGATCTCAACCAAATTTCGTGGTGAAATCGAGGATCCCATTTCAGTAATACTCAATGCCATATCATTAAACCGGAAGCCGGTCGACAAACACAACGTCCTGAAAAGACACAAGGAAATCTGGACTTTGCTTATGTGTAAGTACGGAGAGATCGTTCTTGATTACAAGGCTCTCATAAGTAATTTCATATGGGTTTGCCAAAAAGAAAAAAAAACACCCGACTCGTTTCAAAAGTATTACGATTGTTTTAATTTACTGTTGATCAAACTCCATAGCATGTCACCGAGGTTTAAATGCATGATGGACGCTTTGGACTTTATTTATTCACTAGTTCCACAATGGAGATCTAAGTATGGTGTTATGCTCGCCACGGAAAATTTGGCCGAGTATACTTTAACTGTAGGGCCGACCATCTCGTCGAAATTGTCCGAACAAGGTACTACTGTGGACGTGGTTAATGAGGAAATAACTCAAATTCGTGAACACATTGCGGAAGTATATAGAACTATCATATATCCGTTTGCCTACAGTCATTGCAACATTCCAACAAACAGAATATTGACCGATCATACTTTAATGGAAAATTTTTTTCACGCAGAGGAAAACAAGCTTATACCGGTGGAAACAACCATGTTGCAATACGTCGTTGACGAAATAGATTCTTATGTTAATGAGATCTTTAGCAAATGGTTCGGGGATTTAGGCTTCGCATACGGCGTGGAGGGTAAAGTTATAATCAGGACTAATTAAAATATTATTATCACCGAAATGTCGATTATAGTGTAGCTTAATCATTTTAATATTATGTATATCCCACTTATATAGATATTTTTGTTTAAATTAGTTATGTGTTAACAACACAATATCAAACAAAATTTGTCAACGGCATTTTATTCTACAACTTTACCACGTATGTTAACGGTTAATTGTCTACTGCTCACTAGCTCATAATTTTACAGCTGTTATACAAATATTAATTTTAAAATAAATAAATGTTCATCAATAAATAACAAATTATATTGTCTTCTTCTTCTTTGGTTTTCCAATTCTTTAAACATTTTTACCGCAACCGACACTGTTCTGCAATCTTCCCGATTCTGGATACTATCGTCACAATTCATCACTTCCAGTGTTTCCAAATACTTCCTCACTCCATCTGTCTATCGCTTCTTTGGTTTTCCTCTTGGTCTTTTTTCCGTTGGTTTTCATTCGATTGCTGCTCTTACACTTGCATTTTCAGTCTTTTGCTTCTTGTAACCAAACCTCTGATATCTTTCACGTAATGTAGCTTATTAGCAATGGTACTTTAGTGGTTTATCTTAACTATATTATATTGTCAATAAATGTTAATACGATGATATTATTATATTACCAAGTATGTTAATAATTATGTTACTGTATCTTATTGTAATTATTACTATTGTATTAGTTTATTCTAAATAATATTACCAATAGTATTACTAAAAGTGTTTGTGTTATAATTTCTGTTGTGTTCCACCCCAGTTATTTCAACAAGGTTTTCTCATTTTGACTCACAAAGTACTTTCTTTTGCGTGTTTCTCATCGATATTTATGTATATTATAATCAAATACATCGGTCTATTGATTCCAAAGCTATTTGTTGATACAAAAAAAAGAATCACATTGTAATAACGCAATAACTTCTCAGATTTTATGGTAGATGATTTTTTTTAAAATAATGTATAACACGTGTAAATTACAAGTGCGTTTAACAAATAAACAAGCGAACGCTGTGAATAAGTCGTGACGCAAATATGATAGGCAAATGGTCTAGGCGCGTGTTTCAAGACGAAAGGTAATTAGTATAAATTTTAATTATATTTTTAAACACTTTTAGTTTTTAATCGAATAGTACTACTGTGATTTGTTATTTGGACGCTACGATAATGCACTATCAAACATTAATTTCAATACTAGTTTGGGTTGTTGTACTTTGTTCTATACGCGTTAAGTCGGATACGACAGGTACATTACAAATATCAGAAATCGCTCATAAGTTAAACTTGTTATTACACCATTCAGGATGGCGGTCCATTGGCGTTCAAATCTTAAAAAAAAAAAAGACAGAAGTAGTGGATCCCATTTCCGAAATACTCATAGCCATATCGTTGAACCAGATGCCGGTCGACGAATCTAACGTCTTAAAAAGACACAAGGACATTGCGACTGTGCTTATGTGTAAGTACAGCGAGATTATTTTTAATTACAAGTATCAAATAATTCATTTTATACGGGTTTGCCAGAACGAAAAAGATTGTTCAGACTCTTACCAAAGTTATTACGATTGTTTTCAATTGCTGTTGACCAAACTCCACAGCATGTCGCCGAGGTTTAAATGCATGATGGATGCGTTGGACTTTATTTACTCGCTATATCCACAAAATAAAACTAAGTATAAAGGTATAGGTGTAATGGAAGCCACTGACAAATTGACTGAATATACTTTGACTATAGGGCCGACATTGTCATCGAAACTGTCCGAACAAGGTACCACCGTAGACGTGGTCGATTACGAAATAAATTTGATAGGCCATTTTATCTCGGAAGTATATAAAAAGAACATATCTCGGTTTACCTACCGTCATTGCAACATTCAGACAAACAGAAAATGGACTGAAAACACTTTAGTAGGCTTGTTTTTGTTTGCTAAGAGCAGCCAGATGATACCACAAGAAACGACTATGTTGCAATATATAGTAGACGAAATGGATTCTTACGCTAATGAGATCCTTAGCAAATGGTTCAACGATTTGGGCTTCGCATACGGAGTGGAGGATAAAGTTATAATCAGGACTAATTAAAATATCTTTAGCACCAAAATGTCGATTTATAGTGTAGTTTAATTATTACAATATTATGTACATCCAACTTATATAGATATTTTTGTTTCCAGCAGTTATGTGTTAACAACTTAATATCAAATAAAATGTGTCAACGTGACATTTTATTTTACAACCTTTTTTGTCCTTACAACCTTTTTGCATGTACACGTAGGCTAAAATAATTTAGGTAAACATTAAAGAAATTTACCAAAAAAATCGATTTCCTACGTTTTTGGTAAAAATCATAAAAGAGACATAAAAATGTTTGTATTTCTTAAATAAAAGCTGTTAAGAAAATATGTATTTTAAAACTAATAAATCATTATATATCAATATTTTTAATAGAATTATATTATTATTCTGCCGAGTATGTTAGCAGCCACCTTTTTACTGTTCATGCGAAAGAACCATCATGATTCTTGAGCCCTTATGCTTATTATAGTTGTGCTTCGTTTTAACTAGATTGAACTGTACTGGTTTAAACTGTCTTAGGTTTGAATTGTTCCAGAGTGTAGTACTAATTTTATTTGCGCGCCCTTCCCATTCCGCTTTCTTTTAAATTCGTATAACTTTAAAGATAGTTGTTCAAAACTGGTAAAAAAAGTTAATAAAATACATACGTTTAAGTTTCAAAAGTTTATATAAAAATAATTAGTTTTGGAGGGAGAAACATAAATATCTGCGAATAATTGGGATCACATTGTACAAAAACACTGAAAAAAAAAGAAATTCCTTATTATACCCTATGAGATATTGATAATGTTGTTTATAATGTAATTTATCTGTATACAACACGTCAAATTCCTAAACCACAAATCAATCTAAAAATCCAAACTTTATGATTTTCGAAGTTTTTTCTTCATAAAAACAAATTTTGGTTAAAAATTTTAGCTTCGACGCAAAGCAGCGAAAGTATTGATTTTACCATCATGTGGGCATTTTTTTTTGTCTGTACACACTGTTACTTTTTTAATACTGGACCTATTCCTTCGAATAGCAACTCTATAAATCACAAATTTCTACTAGTTGGTACTTAGGGGGTTAAAAGTTAAAACCTTCTACACAGTTAAAATTTGAAAAAACAAAACAAAAACCGTTTTTAAGTTAAAACTTTTACTGGCTATAATTTTGAGAAAAAGAGTTGGATCGAGTTGTAATTTATAAGGAATATATTTTACTAGTTATGTCCGCTACACCTTTTGAAGATTTCATATATTTTAACAAAAACACCTAAAACCTAAAAAAATTGTATCAAACCATTACAACAACTTTATGTAGATCTATGCAGAATGATACTATTAAGTTTTGATACTCAAGTACTACTTTAAGGTTTTAATTTAGTTTTTTTAGACCGAGACGGCAATGTTGGTACATATTATTATATTGTGTATATTATAACATGATATCGCAGAAGACTAAATCGTGTGTCTAGTGTAATCGTCTTTCATCTTGGGAAAACAGCTGACCCGTACTGCTTCGTTATCTTGTTGTTTTATGGCGACTTGACATTCGTCTATCGACACACCAATAGGTACCCATATTTTTTGTATCAAGTAAGGACAATAATTTTGGAAAATTATCCGTGAAGGTTTGGTTTATTGTGCTTAATAAATGTCGTAATATAGAATTAAGCTAGAATTAAAATTAAGTGTTTAAATAATATATAGCTCGTCTCTTACATCACAATACATTGCTACCATGTTAAATGTCATAAAACATGAAATTATAGGAAATGTAATTTTTTTAATTTTGGCTCAGTACATTCCAGTCGTAAGTCTAATGGATAACGATTTATAATGAATAGAGGCAATAGAATATTCCTTTGGTAAATTTGACGGCCTTAAATTTTTGTCCTTTACATTTTAACCGTCAGTTATAAGAAGAAACGGCAAGGGGGTCGCGCAACCCCTTTTCAAGAGATGGAGGGCTACGCACATGGGGTAGGCTTGGGGACTTTTAGTATGTTGACCAGTATGGTATGAACTGTTTGTGTACCAAAATTCAGCTTTCGCTGAATTAAATCCATTCTTTTCCGTTTTTTGGTCTAATTTGACTGGACTAAAATGAAGATATTTTAATCTGAGAATAATTGTTAAAAGAGTCATGTCAAACAAATATTTGATAAAAATGCCTACTCGCTCACACCATGTTTAATGAATTAATAGTAAATAAAATTGAGATGAAAAATTTGCAATAATTTTTTTGAACTTTTTTAAATTGTACACCCCAAACGCAAACTAGACACTATTAATACTGATTGATAGACTTGCTGATAAAATAAATCAGTCCAGCGATTTTAGAGTTTGATACTGACAAAAAAAAACATAAATTTTTAAATGTGGAGAACATGAAGAATTATCACACCATCTAGTGTGAGATTTCTCACACTTAATAACTAATGAGAACATCAACTCCAGAGCTACTGTGGGTAAATTATCATTGGTTAACTTTTTCCTGGAAAGAATGAAATTAGTCATTAAAACAAATAGAAGCAAAGAAATATTGAGATTTGAAAAGGACTCAGCACTATTCAATACACAGGGATATTAAACTGAACAATACATAGGTATGATAGACTACGGGGAATAGAACTTCTAAGAGAGTGCACGCAGTAGATCTACAGGTCTGAAAACACTGAAAATATTCCAAGATAAAAAATCACCTTGTATAGATAATTGTATACGAATAATTTTTTTATTCGAGTATATCAAATCATTATTTATCTTCTAAAGGGACTATCCCCCAAAATGTTCTATAGAAGTGAAAACACAATAAATATCAAAAACTATCTTTTCTACATTATGGTCAAGCATTTATTTCAATTTTTAGGTGTGGCTCAAGAGTCAAGAGTGATTGCTAGTTTGCAAGGGAATCAGATTTGGCTCTATAATTTAATTTAAAAAACTTGTGAAATTATTAAGTAAAGTATTGTTACCTGCTGACATTGACTTTGCAAATTTTGTTAATATTTCATATTTTTTATGTATACAGGTGATCGCATAAGGTACCCACGTCATATTGTTTTATTCGTTTTTATTAAGCAAAGTTAGTGCAAACATTACGCCATTGTGTACACTTGACGGTATAGCTGCGTGACAAAGTCAAAATCAACGGTTAACCTAACACAGAACCATCTACAATATAGTGCATATTATTCAGCCAAAATTTACGTTAAAGCAAAAAAAATTGTTTAATTTTATTTTCTTATACTTATAAAAGACATCAATCTGGCATAGCCTCCTGGGATTTTTAATTTTGATAAAATTCTCGAGGAGCTCTAAGAGTTTTTAAACGACCGGAATTTCACCCCACTTTCCAGAAGTTGATAGATATTTTTTTGTTATAGGGCAATATTTTAAAGGGGTCACCGGAACGCAAAACAAATAAAAGTTGAAAAAGTTTACTTCATCACAGTCAAAATATAAAAAAAAAAACAAAAAACCATACGAGTTTTTAAGTTGGAACTTTTACTAACTATATAAAAAAAAGAGTCGGATCGAGTTGAAATTTATACGGAATATTTATTTGGTTTGCCCGCACACGTCAGTTGTATCAAATTTAAATTATACCCATATTCCACCCCCCTAGAGGGGATACAAGTTATTTTGGTTTTTTGGGGTTTTTAGCCGTAATTTTAAGACCTTAATATTGAAAAATTGTCAGTAGTTAGAACTCATATGTGTCTATAATATATTAAACGGAGATAAAATTCGGCACTACTTCTTTAATCACCGGAAAACTGTGTTTTTCGCAGATTTCGTGTATTTAAAAAAAAACACATAAAATCTTAATAAAAATGTATCAAATCATTACAACAGTCTCATGTAGATCTATGCAGAATGATACTTTTAAGTTTAGATACTCAAGTACAATTTTTGGGTTTTCATTCATTTTTTTTTTAACTACAAACACGGTGGGTTTATGAAAGATTTGTGAAACGAACAAACGCTAATAACTATCGGTTGGTAATGTCGACCCGTGTGTGGTATATGAGATAATGTTAAACCGAGCCCAAACGCCGGTATCATGATATTGTGTTTATTACATGATATCACAGACGACTAAATCGTGTAACTGCTTATAGTAGACACTCGATTTTTTGGGGGAAAAACCTATCCGTGTACTTATTAAGACAATTAATGATTCTGATACGACAAAACCACTGTCGTTATCTCGTTATTTTATAGCCTGCGTTATTTAACCTTACCGAAGGTCAACTATGAGTATATAAGGTCCAACTACCTGCAAATTATGAAGAGGACTGTGGTTTTTTGATTAAGTGTTGGTTTTTATGCAGTATACCGCCTCAAAATGTATTTTTTATTACACAATTTTTTTAAAGGAAAACTAATGTTTTGCATATTGATATACTGTTATTAATTTAAAGAGATTCGCGCTTGATCGTTTAAATTATCCAATATTAGATAACCTGCTTCGTGCTATTTTTAATTTTTTAGTTTATCAACCTGTAGATCTGATCTTGTGTAAAATATTTTATTATTTTATTACTATGTTCAAATTAAGACATATTTTAATAATAATTAAAAATCATGAATGATAATACTTTATAATATTATGACTAGATCAAATCTCGTAAACATTTAACTTTGTGATACTGCTTTCTACACTATTATTAAAACAATACAATTTTTAAATTCTCCATAAAAGGTTATTGTTAAATAAGTAATTGTAAAAGGCTACACTTTGGTCCACTATGTTTTTGCAAAAAAATTAAATAACCAGTACAGTGGGGTTATTCAAGCTAGTATAGTCCAAACCAAGCACAGTGTAAGCCAGCAAAGTTAGAAAATATTAAATTGATGTCTGTGATTACAAATAAGCATCAAAGCGTTTATTTGAAAGTGATTTTAACTGAGAGGACTAGTACAGTAGATTATAGGCATAATGGAATCAAAGCAACGAGGAGACGGAGAGGTCTACAGGAATCATTATAAATAAAAGTGATAAAATTGAATAAAATCCCTGTCAATTCTACTTATATCCCCAAAGTGTGTAATAAAAACTATTTATTCTAATCCCCTCCCCCTACATACTTATCAATATATTTATTCATACTAACTAATATGTTTTCAATTTATAAGCTCTCTTTATATAAGACAAACCACAATAAAATCCACATAAAAGAGTATACAGAAGACATAAATACTATTAGATTGGAGAACTAGACAAGAACTTAGAGACTGTAAACTATTGAATTACTATAAATTAGAACAAACACTGTAAATTAAAAAAAAAAATAATAATTTTGGTTATAAACTAACATA